AAAAATTGGCAGCTATCTTATAAAACTGCTTTAAAAAAACACAGAGAAATTAAATTTTCAGTTCATATGTTCTGTAAGTTTCCTGTATCTTTGAGAAGAAAAAAAGTTGTTCCAGTTTTGTACACAAGGAATTTGTGGGGCTTTAGTCATTTTGCTAAAAATCAAAAAAATTTGGTTTGATAGATCTCCATAACGAAAAAAATCAACAATATAACATCATAGAATCTGAAAATCTCTTGTTTGTTAGCACACCATGTACATTGTTACCACACCAAATGCAGTGTTCTTGAAAATAAGCTGGAAAACATGGAGACAAATCTTTTGTAAACTAAACAAAGAATGAATTCAGTCTCTGACTCTAAGAAAAAATTAAACTTGCACATGTATTTGAAAGTTTAAATACATGAAACTCAAGCTGTTCCTATTCCAGCTTCTGGCTAATGTTCTAAAATACCCATTTTAGTGACATTTCAAACCGTAAAACATATTTGTGTGGGAAATGGATGACTAATAATGTGTTTACAAATGACTTGTAAATTTTTCTGTTGAACTTCAAATTCTAATTAGCATTGAATGCACTTCAAAAAATCTCCTACTGAAAATAGTCCTAATATGAACATTTCTTTTCCTAAGCTAACTCAAATGAAAAGACCCAGTAGAAGAGCATGCATTTCAAGTTTCTGATGAAACACAACTGACAGGCTAAAGAAATCACAACAATAAGCAGAATACAATTATAACTACTAACTTGTGTTTAAAAAGCATTCTCTCACATCTCATTGCTTTCTTGACTGCAATGCAACATTTATTTTTTTTAATTAGATAATCTAACTTCCATAAAAAGTGTAAATTGGTTGTGTGTAACCTAAATGACCCAACAATGTTTAAACTATGTTATCTTCTGCAGATGCAGAAATGCAGAGCTGTAGCTACAAATACAGCCAACAGAGGACATATGATGAAGCTCAAGCATATTACTTTCAAGTCACATCCTTTTTTAATCTCCTCATATCACCACACTAACCCACAGTATATGACTTTCACTTATTTATACCCCTGGACTAATATATCATATATGCCTATCCCACATCATCGGCTCTACAGATTTTGACCTGGTCTGGACTAGTAGGAGAAATAGTGGAGTTGTGGATCCACTGGTTTGATCAGTGAATACTAGAAGTATCTTTTGTACTCATGAAATATTTAATTTAAATAAACTGATATTCTTTACCTGTTAATTGTTCACCAGATATGATTTTGTAGCTGCTACATTACTTCTGTGTGAGGCATTTACTGCTGCATCTGTTGAGGTACCTGCTAAGCTGTATTCCTACAAATTTATAAATGTTAAACAGAAGCTTTCAGTGTTACCCCCGCTGCCATGACCACAGCACAGAAATGATTGCCCATGCTCTCTGCCTGCATGCCCATCTATCTACTGCACAGCAGGGAACCCCAAGCCCCACTACATGTCTTGGGGCAGTGCTGGCCCTAGGGCCTGCTCTTCCTCCCTTCCTCAGACAAGGCAGCCCATTTAGCAATACCTACTCCTAGAGGAGGGGAGAAAGCACAGAAATGTCTCTGGCCAAGTGGTGTCTTACTTTTTTTCTCTGACCTATAGGCATTTTCTAGCAGACCAGAGAGCCCTTTGGCTGCAGAAGAGCTGCTGGCCGCTCTTCCCAGGGAAGGAAGAGGCAGAGAAACAGCCAAACAGAGGCATTGCTGCTTCTTCCCTCCCCTATGTCCTCCCATGCCCCTGTCCCAATAATGAAATTTGTGTTTTCATCCATCTGGATTTGATGGCATTTTCTGCAATCTGGTCACACTTTATGTGCTGTTACATAACTGACAGGGCTTTTTTTAATTATTTTTTGAACGGGAATGATTGAACCGAGTTACTGTATCTCCATGATTACTGGACTTGTCAAATAATTTTGAGCAATTTGTTAGTAAGTAATTAATCAATTAAAATAGTCCTCTACCATAGTAGGATTACTTGGTAGCTTTTATTATATGGCATTCAGCTTTGGCCACTAGGTAAGGAAAAGACTGTGAGAGGATTAGGTGTTGTTCAAACTTTCAGAATGAGGCTAACCTTAAATTCAGATATGAGTTTGAAAAGAAACAGGAGAGCAAGCAACCATGGACAAATATGGTTTTGGCAGCAAAAAAGGACGGTGTTCTTTCTTCCAAAATAGTCCTTCATCATTTGTTGGTATGTGAACATACTCTTCACAGATCCATATATAAATAGATCATTATTTGTACACTTACAGGTGTGCTTCTATAAATCTACCTTGTTTCTCTTGCTATTATAGTAGACTCTGTTGTTCCAGTCGGTTCTTAACTTCTAGTAAAAGGCAAGCCTTCATCAGTGTGAAGTTTGTGGAAGGAATGGACCTGGTGTTAGTGTTGCAAGGCTTGTGTGTTGTGGCTGTAGACCTCATTTCCTCTCATTGAGGAGAACATCTGCTTTTTCCCACATGGTGGGAAGATGACTGTACTTGCCCTTCTCTTCCCGCTTCTAGCTGATGTAACTGCTTAATCACTTTTCCACTTTTTGCAGATGCTTTCATAGGCACCTGTCTGCTTAAGCTGGGGAAGGACTGGATGATCTTATTGAACATCTGTCAGAAGTTTCTGCTTTTGAAGAACCATGACCCCCTTGGACTAAAGGAAAGAGAGCTAAAATCCTGTGGCTAAAGGGTGTATTCTCCTACACAGGCATACAAATTAGCCATCCATTGTAGAGTTGTTTTTATAAGGAGTTACAAATCTGACTAGATCACTGATTGGGTGACAAGTGCTCTCCTTATGTAACCTACTGCTGTGATGTTCATAGCAGCAGCAATTCATTAGTGCAGCTCAGTGTGACAACTGAATTTCGATTTTTTCTTTTGAAAATACACTTAGGAGTCCCCGCTGACCGCAAGATTTCCTGAGAAATAGTACGTTCTTGTAAAACTTTCTGACATTCTTATTTCTGCCCCCTCCACCCAAATTATATTCCGCCTACTTCTATATTACAATGATCCAACTGTGCACACGGGACAGGTGGCCCACGGGTAAAATCTGGCTTTAAATTCACATGCCTAAGCACACAGTGCCATTGTATTGTGATTTTAAGAGTGCCTAACCTTGAATAATAGTAAATAGGCCAACAGTCTGTTTTAAGGACCAAGCACATCAGCAGCAGGAACTGAACGAAATAAGACAGGGAAGCACTAGTGGCAAAGGATCTTTACAACACCACTGAGCAAAAGCTGTTGTAAAGCAGATACATGTTAGAGTGATTGGCATCTCCGTGCTTTCCCCATCTCTCTCTGAAAGCTAATGAAAAAAAAGATCCTTCTCTTCTTAGATATATGAAAAAATATTTGCCATTCACCCCTTTCAGAAAAACAGCTCTACTGCTTCATTTCCTGCTTTTTCTATTGAAATGAATGCAAACACAATGGCAGCTTCCATATGACAGACTCTGTCATCCACAGCTTTCAGAGCATCAGGATAGAGATGTACTTGTGGGATCTGTTGGAGGCCATTTCTTGGCATCTGTATGATGAATAAATACTTCTGACTGAACAACAAATGCTCCTTTGCACTTCAGTTCCATCACGATTTTCAGTAAGTCTGCTATGACTCATTATAAAAATTAGTGCTCAACCAAGGTAAACTGTATCAAACAGAAGAGGCTCAATGTTTCCTCTAAACCTCATATTCCTTTAGTTAATTTAGAGAAGAGTCTGTATTTTTCATAAGAAACATACATGTACATACTTTCAAAGGGTCTCAAGCCCTGCTCTCCCTCTCTTTGCTTGTTTTAGTGGAGTTGGAGTTTAGACATCATTGACCACAGAAACAAACTTGTGGACTAATTAGAAAATGTATGTAGAGGGTGGGTGGGACATACCAGTTAAAATGCCAGCGAACGAAATGTGACAAGTATGTATTCACAACTTTGAATATGGGTATGTGTTAACAATGAAAATATTTTCCAGTGGGAAATAGGAGTAGAAACCAATAACAAAAAATTTAGAGGCAGGCCAATTTTGTAATGTTTGTGGTGTTTCTATGACAGGGAAAACATCTCTAAAACAATTACTGAATATATTGTGCAAACCCCAGGACACTAACTTGGCATATCCACTGTCCCATATTAGGCTGTGTCAGAATCAGCACTGAGCATAATAAATGATGGTATATTAAAAGAAAAAAAATTGAATACGAGGAACTATTAGGAGTTCTGGGGTGTTTTTTACTAAAAATAAAAAGCCTTGTGGACTGCAATGTCCAATTACTTCACAGTGATATGAAATTTGCATTCAATATTCAATATTTCATCACTGGTTCAAATGCTTACCAATGTGCCTGAGTATTCAAGTTTGTTTGTTGGTCCCTCCTTCTGCTGAGTATGAATTATTGCTTACATACAGAAATTACTATTTAACTGAACAACTGTTACTACATCTTCTGAATAGCAAAAAATGTTCAAGTATAATATTTGACATGTTTTGCAACAGGTGGTAATATAGTATGCAGTAGCAGAAAAATTTGAAAGAACATAAGGAATTTGATAGAAATTAGGAGGAATAGCAAGATCCATACAGTAAGTTTCAATTTTGCACAAGCATCCAGTTTTATCTGTCATTATTTTCAAGTAAATAATGAAATGCAGACTAGCTTCCAGAACTATTTTGGTTTTTGATGGCCAAAAAAGGCAACCACTGATAGTCTGTGTTTTATGAAGTTTGTTTTGGAAGTGTAGGTGTTCACCATGGTAGAATAAAAGAAAGGTGGACGTTAAATAAGATAATACTGCACCTGTTCTCTCAGGACTTCTTAGGAGTCTGGTTTGTAGAGCTAAAGACTTTAGGACACTGCCTAACATCACAGAACATATATTCATTTGTAGAATTGCCTTTACAACCACTAAAAACCACGTATTTAAGTGTAGTTATGAAGAAAGTACAATGCAGCCACCAACAAGGCTTCTTACAAACTTGTGTTTCCATTTAAAACTTTATTTTGTATATTCAGAACATCACCAAAGCCATAGAAACCTGTAGGCACAAATTACTTCATATCCAGAGTTTTTGAATAAAATACTTGCTAATGAAATCGCAACAACAATTTTCATGATAACTATATACCTTAATATTTTATATATACATATAAAAGTCATGCATTGTAAAGAGTCATTTCATCTATATCATGTTTTCTGGGTGCTAAAATTCACTGTATATCTTACAGGTTTAAATATATCATAATTTTTTGTACATTTTAAAGAGTTTGTTATATTGATAGCACATTCCCAAACAAAACACAAAATGTAATAAAGCTATATATTTTTTTTATTTACCTCATTTTTTTTCCCTGTATTAAATAAATTTCGTATAAGTAATAGGAAAACAAATGTTTTAAACTAGCTTACAATTAGGTAAGATATGTAAAATCTAGTAGTAGAAACTGGAATGGCAATGCAAGGGTATAAAATATGTTCTCTTTTGAGTCTGTGGTCCATGAGTAATATTGCTTCTGTACTGGCCTTGCTTTGATACAAACAAGTCCATGAAATAATTGATGGCTTATTATGTAGCAGGTGAGGAATCCTTGGGGAATTAAAGGAAATGGTCCTCTGGCAGCTACTTGTTTCTATTACCACCTTTGCTATACAATTATTCTTTTCTTGCTGAGGCACAATTAAAAAAAGTCCAGGGCCAAATTTTAGCCTGTAATATCCTTGCAGTCATAACCTTTTCAGTCTAATTCAGATCCCCTATTTTGTACTTCTGTAACATTACTTACTATCGAAATAATTCCACTGGCTAAAGTAATAATGTTAAAAGGATCTTTGTCTTTATAAAGCACTTTTTCTTTGAATTTCTATCATTATTCCGTGCTGGCTGTTTAGGTGTGTGCCATGCATGATGACCTTTGGCATCGGCATGTTAGTTAACATCAGTAAGAGACTCCGTACTGCTGGCCTCTCTATGTGACCCAATACTCTGTAAGTGTGATCATTCTTTTGATTTTCCAGTTTTGTTAGTGAGCCATTTGCTTACAAAGTAGATGTATATACATATACAAAAGTCTTACTAAACATAGTGCCTTTAAATACTTCATGTCCATGACCTGAAAATACTGTTTGATCCATTGACAGACAGACAAGAAAAAGATAGACTTTTCTTGTGCCATATTAGGTTTCTTTATGTGTTTTAAAAACTCTTTAAGAATGTGAAGAGACAGTCTTACCAAATGCAGACCAAGCACTGGACCGGGACTGAGGAGATCTGCTTTTGTTCCCAGGTCTGCCACTAGCCTGCTGGGTAACCTACGTGCAGTTGCTTCCTCTCTTTGAATTTCAACTTCACTACCTGGTAAGTTAAGGTAATGATGCTGTCCTTTTTGTAAAGTGCTTTGAGATTTATGGAGAAAAATCATCATATAATAGCCAGCTATTGCTAAGAAAGAGCCTTTTTTTCATGCTCTCTCCAGTTTTCTCTTTTAATACCATGAAGTAAACCCACAAAATTCTGCCTTCATTAGGATAAGTAGGAGATTTACGCTTGGTTTTAATAGTGAGAGATTTTTTTCTGAGTGAATGACAAAAGTTGTGCTTCTTTGTAGACACTGCTAATAGCAATTTTTGCTCAAAGAAATGAATACTGTCACTCTACCTGTGACATGTTTGCACTTTTGTGGAAGGGAAAGATGGAAGGGAAGCAAACAATAGCTCTGAGAGCAACGAGGTAATGATTTTTAATGCAATACTGCATTTTAACAGCCCCTATAAGATATTTATAATGCCACAGCATGCATACTAATAATAGTAGTACTTGACTGCATTTCCTCATAGTATGATTTTGACATAAACATACCAAAAATATGGTCATTCTTTTTAATATTTCAAAGCAGTTCCTAAAGTGCAAAACATAGCTTATTTGATTCGATGTGTCCTTTAAAAAATGTATGTGCTTCTTTTGTCTTAGATGGTCTTTGTTATCAGTATGACACACACTTTACTCATTCATATTAGCTTTTTTAAAAGCTTTGGAGAGGTCCAGAAAAGCTCACATATTATACACTTTTTCACTTTTCAAAGGTTTTGAGAAGAGCAGTTTCCCCTGACAAAGTGGTTGAAACCATATTTTTTTCTCTTCTGAACTTTGTATTGCATTGTAACGCAGTACTGACTAGAACTCTTAATATGCCAAATCCTGTAGTATTTATTCCAGCAAGTTTTAAGAGACGCTTGTGTGCCCTAGAACCAAATATAGGATTTGGTCCTATAAATAGTCACAGTTGTTCAAATAATGAGTTTAAATCATAAATATAAAACCCTTCATACAATATAAAGGCAATAAATCACATAGGAAATTGCATCAACGCAAAATTGCAACATAGTAATGTAAAGAAGTTTCACTCAGCCAATTTGGTAATTTGAATAAAAGTGTTATATACTACACAAACCCCTCCCAGTGTATCACCAGTTCAACAGACTTTCCATTCGTTCACTAATGAATGGACCACATACCACATTCATTTAACCACCACTAGCGTTTGAACTGCGCCTTTCCCAAAGAGGCTTTTGTAGGGAACTCCCTAGTCTTCCCTAAAGAAACTTTCTGTTTGTTTATGTATAATATTTTTATACATTCTGACATTCTCCACAGGAAAATCTGCTCTCCTGAAATATTTTGGGACCAGAAGCAATGGGTTCAGAAAGGAGATCATTTCAATCTCTCCTACAGGGGCTGATGTTTTCCTCATCCTTCAGTTCAAACACTGCATCATACCCAAAAGAAATCTTATGCTGGGAGGGTACAGAGATCATCTGTTCCTTTTAACTGTGCTACCCCCCCACGCCCTTTTAGTGTGAAAGAGTTTGTTTATTTGGTGGATCTAGACTATCTTATGCACACTGCCCCACCAATCAGCAATGAACATTGCACAGAAATGTTTGTCCACTGCATTCTTAAAAGGCGTGTTAGACCATCCACCGTGCCTGTATACGTTCTAGGTTCTTTCATGGCCACTTTGCTTTTTTACTAACATTATACATTGCCTTCTCTTGCTGTTATATGCAAATGTAAATAATATGATGTTGTCTTCCCAAATCTGCCACATTATGCTAAGGATGAAATTTCCTTTCTTCTGTAAATTGCAAAATTAGACATACTGGCCCATCTTTTACTTCCTCGTTTTTTTTTCACTGATAGCTGTAGTACATGGTTTTTTAATTGTTGGCTTTTTCACAGTAACCACAGTAACTCATTTTTCCAAATTCCAGATATTTCTTTTAAAACAGATACTAATAAATAGGTATGGTTGTTTGCTGTCTATAGGTTTTACATGAATATTGTCAGATAGGTGAGACTGCATGGCTGATTCCTGACAATGCAATTTCACATCACCACACATTTGCCTTTCAGCTTCTCTTTCCTCTTCTGCTGCTTGCTTTTTTTGCCATCAATTTGTAAACTCACAGTCCTGCGTTTCTCTAAGTTTAGTAGCTCTTGGAATAACTCTTTCACGTTGTGGTTCAGCTTGGCAGACGTTTCCATGAAAGCACATTTCCACTTCTTAGCCATGGCTTCTCCTTCACTGCTGTCCACCTCTCGACTTTGGTTCTCATCATTTTTGTTCCCCACCAGCATTATTGGAATACTTTCTATATCTCCTTTAATCTGACATATCTGTTCATAGATTGGTTTGAGTTCCTCCAAGGACTGTCGGCTAGTGATAGAGTAGACCAAAATGAAAGCATGTCCTTTAGAGATAGAAAGACGTTGCATGGCTGGAAATTGATGGCTCCCTGTAGTGTCAGTTATCTGCAAAGTGCATATGCTCTTATCACAGCTGATCACCTGCCGATAGGTGTCTTCAACTGTAGGGATGTAGCTCTCTCTGAAAGTACCCTTCACAAATCTCAAGACCAAAGAACTTTTGCCCACTCCTCCAGCTCCAAATACAACAACCCTGTAATCATTGCTTTGCTCAGGCATGTTTCTTGGTGTGTCTGTTGCTCAGCTAGAGGAAACAATCTGGGAAAGAAAATGACAAAACCAACAAGACAGACATTAATACAGGTACATGTGGAGAGTGCACTTTGCAATGCCTTTCCCAATAAGAGAAATGATAGTGATGTAAGTGATGGCATGCTCGTTGTTGTAATTTAAGAAAACTTGCAGTGGGTTACGGATTAATTTATTTCAGTATTAAATTTAGGATTTGCAATCCAGCCTCAACCAGTACCAAAAAACCATCTTCATCACTTCATGACTTATTTTAAATTAACATTGTGAGTTTAAGTGCTCTTCCTGCTATAACCTCAGAAATAAAGAGCAGCTCCTGGAAAATGGTATTTCAGCAAGGCCAAGGCCTGCATGAATTGCAGAAACTGAATTATTCTTCTGTCTCTAAAACTAGTCTCCTCAAATCATTATTGAAACACAACAGTATACACATGTATGACAGTCAATTACTCTAAACATGCCATCTCTTCAGTAGTTAGGGAATTTATGTCCACTACAACTGGACAACACTCTTGAGTGACATCTAAGATGCATTTGTAGTTTATTAACCAATAACATCAAGTATGCTTTGTTTCTAACTTTTTGGGTGCATGTGCTCCACTTCAATGTGTTTTTCTACTTGCATTTCAAGTCAAAGAGTACGTTTTGGTAAACTGAGATTGTTCATGTTCAGTCTGCTTTTTCATTCTACTTTTATTTCACAGCAGATGATATTTGACTCGAAAAATGCCACACTTATCAGAAAGGTTGTACAGGCATCTTCACAATATTCTTAATATTGTCTTAATATTCTTGTCAAGGTTGGCAAGTGCATGTGTCAAAGGTCAAAAAACTCCATGATCCCTGAAGTCAGTACCCCTCAGAAAAACCTGTCTGTAAATGGTAGGAACACAAATATTGTCATAATTATTAAATAATAAAAATGGTAAAGCTTTCACAGGATTGTAAGCTGTAGTTGTTTTAGAATTTATTGAAATAAATGTGAAGATTAATTTGTCCTCCCATCAGTAACAGCTTATTAGGTACACAGCATGTACAAGTGTCATTTTATATTTAGTGAGATTTAAGGAAATAAACGCTAAAAAAACCTGAACCCTAAAGGTTGGAGAAAGTCTAGGATATTGTTTCTGGATATATAAAAATTATATGCAGAATGAACTGCAGAATTTGCTGCACCTATATTTGTTCTTAGGAAAATGAGCTGATTTAATAAGGAATCATGTCCAAGTGCCCTAACAGTGCCAGGTGATTGAATTTGTCTTTTGCAATGTTGCCTGGGTAGCAGCTAATACAGAACACCACAAAGGGATTTCTGTCGGAATAACAAAAGTCTTCAAGCTATTTCTTCACCGCAGCAGGAGGAGTGATTGCACTGCAGGGCAGGATTTTAAGTTACCATTTACCTGTCTAACATGAGGAGAATAGCAATAATGTTGTAGATATATGGATGTGAGTGGAGGCTGGATGACTTTTCCCAGTTGTCAGCCCACAATGAATTTTGTGCTTCTGGTTGTAGATATATGGATGTGAGTGGAGGCTGCATGACTTTTCCCAGTTGTCAGCCACATCTTTGATGCTGTTGCTGCCTGTGCCAGTAGATTAAAGTTATGGCTACCCATGCTGCAATAATGTCTTCATTTTTCTGCTCAAGCATACCCTGATTTTGCTATCCTTCTTGTCCAGGGCAATCTATTCTGTCCTAATTCTAATGTCTGAGCAAGCTGAAAACATCTGTCTTTACATTATGTGTTGGATGAAGGAATTGTGCTTCCTCATCTGCCACACTGTAGGCAGAATGACCAGTGCAACTGGGGATGCTGATCCTGAGGCAAAGTGGAGAGCTGTCACAGCTCTGCCTACCCAGCCTGGCCGCAGGCAGAAGGCAGCTTCACCCCTTCCATCTCTCCTACACTGCAGTCACCATCATTCTCAGAGACCTGTTTAAATATATGAGCGTTCATCCTGAGGCACTGAAGCAAAATTGTTTCTCTCTGACAGCAGAATTCAAGGAATTGAAAGAAGAGTAGTCTCAGAAAACAATGGTGTATGTTCTTATATAAACGAGAAAGAGGAAGAAGGAAAATGAGCGAACAGCTCATGCTGTTCAGAAAACAAACAAAACTGGAGTAGCTAGCAAGAAATAAGAACAAATTATGCTAGCAGCATGCTGTTCCTCTGAGAATTAACTTGTACCTAGAAGCTGCAAACATGCAAATTCAGAACAGTCACAGATCTTAGAGTTGCGGGTGACTGCAGAGGATGACGTACAAGAATTATAGTTTAATATTTTTTGTGAGCAAAAAGGCAAGAGAGAAAAACCTAAAAAGAAGCTTAAGCATTGCACAATTAGATAATACGTAGCCTTTGGATTATTATCCCATAGGAACTAGTCCCCTATTATCCTATTATATATAGGAACTATGGGATAATGAGAAAAAATGCACTATGAAAATTTTTACTATTGAAATCAGTGAAATTCAGAATAGAGAAATAAAATTTTAAGAGCTGAGTGTAGTCCTGCTATATTAAACTTCATGCTTTAAGCATACTTAGAAAATTCAAAGAAAATTGGCACATATGGCTGCCCAGAAATTAGAACAAATTGAAAAGTGGCACTTAATGGCATGAAGTATTACACATCTGAAAAGCTTCAAAGGGAACCTGAAATGGCATGGTAACAGTCTTCAAATATATTGTAAGTTGTGGCAAAGAGGGCCAGGGTGTATCTGTAGTGGAAAAAAATTGCATTCATGGACTTACGTTGCAGAAGAGATCCACATTGGACAACAGCTTTACAGTGATAAGAAAAGCTCACCAATTGCTTACGGAGAATTTGCAGACTGTCTTTAGAAATGACATCACAGGATAAATCAGGTTGTAAGGGACCCGACGAGATCCCTGGTCCAGCCTGCAGGTCACAGCAGTGTCAGCCATGAGACAAGACAAGGCTGTTCTGTTCTGTCAGGGTTTGAAAACCAACATTTCGCAAAACCTTTCTGGACAACCTGCTCCACTGCTAAATTACTCTCAAAGTGATCTTTGCCCCCTTATATCTAGTCTGAACTACTTGTGTTTCAACTCATACTTCTTGTCTCTCCTCCAATGTCCATTGCTGTGAAGAGCTTAATTCCATCTTCTTGGTGGCTTTTCTGTAGGTTTTGGGGGGCTACTGTTTGACAGCCCCTGAAACTGTCCTTTCTCCAGGCCAGTGCTGCAGCCCCGGACACCTTGGTGTCTTTGGTGACCTCATCTGAACTTGCTCCAGTTTGCTGATGTGTTACCTCTACTGAGGGTGCCAAAACAGGGGGAACTACATAGCTGTTGTCTCATGAGTGCTGAGCAGAGGGGAATTATCACCTCCATCAACTGACTGGCCATGCTCCTGTTCATACAGCCCAGGGCATGGTGGGCCATCACTGCAGCCAGGGTGGCCATGCCCAGCTTGTTGCCCACCACAGCCCCAGGGCCTCCTCCACAGAGTTGTTCCCCAGCCCAAGTAGCTGCAAAGGAGCAGGAACCTTAGTTATGGCTCAGTTTCTCCCAAATGCAGGTCCTAAAGTTCCTCAGTTTTACCAAGATAAACAGTGTAAATTATTTTATTTTTTGTCCTGTTCACAAGCTAGGAGCAAACAAAAAGATCATACAGAGCTTTCTAATCACACCAGAGAAAGCCTTCCGTAAATAATGTTCACCATGTGGTTTTATTCTCTGTGTGGATCTGGTCAATGATTCTCTTGCAGTGACTGTGGTGCATTTACACCCAATTGTGCATTTGTTAATGTTTTTCATACTCCCTTATTAGTGTGTTGATTTTTCTTTGTCTTCAAATACGTTAACTAAAACACACAACAGGACAAAACAAAGTACTGTATTGTTTCATCAGCTTTCAATTTTCTGGCCAATGTGGGTATGGAAAAAATAACTTGAAAGAAGCTCAAGAAGACTTTTCAGATGTAAAATATTCTCTCTAATTCGTACTTTGACAACCTGGCTGTTTCATAATCTGCACATATAAAATAACAATTGCTTTTTACACTTTAGAGTTCACTTATTCTGGAGTTTGTGTGTAATAAAGCCTCATTTGCTTCCTTTGCTACTTTCATATCAGTGTCATCCTCTGAAGTGTCAGGTTTAACAAACCTATCCTCAAAGTGTCAAGGCATTTTTAATAACGTGCATCAATACCCTTCATTTATAATTGTTTGGCTGAAAAGTTCAACAAGGTAGTAAGTCTCCATATACCTCTGCTGACTTAGCTGTGTTTTCTGCGGGTGCTGCACTAACACAAGGCTCAGCCACTGTATGTGAGCTCAACAGACTATTCACTGGACAAAAGGCTACCTGCAATTCAGACTCAGCTACAAACTTTTACATTGGTCTGCATTCTTTCCCAAGATATTTCTGACATGCCAGTTAAAAGAACCAAAGCATTGCTCTGACAGGAGGATGCAGTTTAAGGATTCAGTCATTTTGATATAAAATCAGTTATTTTGTTACATAATGATAACCAAAATATGCCTTTAAAAAGGTTTTAACAAAGTACCTCCCATTGCAGATTATGAACTTCAAACTCTTAATGTTCTTTGGGTTTATAGTTACATGTGGGTTTTTTAGCATTTGCTAAAATATGTCACTGTTGCTGGATTTAGCTACTGGATCTCCATAGTTATCCCATAGCTATCTTTAATCATTTTTTATGGTCTAATTTTTTTATCGATTGTATTTAAGACTTGCCTCTTATGTTTGTATTTAAGCCATTAATAACATATGCAATAATAGGCAAAAAGGGAGGCTGAAAAATAACTTCTGAAAATTAATTTACTTGAATGTTTACACTTAGAGTAACACGCGACTAGAATCTCTCAGCTGGTGATTCCTTCCAGTTTGTGCTTAAAAGTAGGTGTACAAAAAATTGCTCACCCTCCAGTCTTTTCACAGTTTTGGTTTTGTTGCAAAAGATTTTCATCATGTTTGTACTGTTAGACTTCCATGAAATGTCACAGATCGCA